TGTGCCCTCCCAAAGCCGGGAGCCACGGCTGCTTCTGCACAGCTCTGCCACCAGACCCTGGGAGGTGGTTTGGTTTTTTCCCAGTGTTTCATGCATTGATGGAGAGCAGTATCTTCTGCAGGTTCGGTGGAGTTGCAAAGAAACAAGCCAGGTATCGCTGGCCTTCTTGAGCTGCATCCGGCTACGGGAGCCACGGCTGCTTCTGCACAGCTCTGCCACCAGACCCTGGGAGGTGGTTTGGTTTTTTCCCAGTGTTTCATGCATTGATGGAGAGCAGTATCTTCTGCAGGTTCGGTGGAGTTGCAAAGAAACAAGCCAGGTATCGCTGGCCTTCTTGAGCTGCATCCGACTGGGGGAAAAAGCTGTGAATATAAAAGTATTACTGAGTAGTTTATGTAAGAATATGTCAGAATATGGTTTTATGCAGTGATCATTTTTTTAAAAACATTATGAACCGAATGTGGAAAAGTGCTGCTGTGTAAAGTGTAGCTGCTCCTCGACTCGCTGTAGTTCGGGTTATGTAACAGCTGGTTCTCCTACTTAAAGTCAGTAAGAGAAATAGAGCTGCAGTGCTTCTCCAGTATGCCGTACGTTACGGTACGCCCAACAAAAGAGCGCTGCAGGCTGCTGCTGGCTGGTAATCCAGCAGCTGAGTATGTCAGAAAAATGAAGTATTTGGATGAGGAAGGTTTTGGTACGGATGCGTCAGTGGCTAGGCGAGGGTGAGCGTCTCCCTGCAGTTTGGCCCGCGGCGGTGCCAGGAATAGCACTGATCTCTTGGCTGTGGGCCCTGAGATGGAGCAAGATGCAGCATCCTTTTGTTGTGCTGAGCTAAAATCTTCCCCTGTAGCTCCCTCCCTCTGATACCTCTCTTCCCTGCCAGTCCCCAGCTGTTGTGCAGTGATGCTGTGTGACCAGTACGGAGGCAGAAGCTGTAGCCAGTGGCGATGCCTTCGACATAGGGACAACATTTACTGCTGTGGTGATGTGCGATAAGCGACCGGATACGGCACTTTGCCCTGGAGGTGCGGCGAGTGCCCGAGGACACAGCTCTCAGACCATCTGTGGACAAGACCTACTGAGGTGCAAAGTGTTTGGCAGACGACGCAGGAGAGCCCACGCTGCCCGGTTCCCACGGGAGCGCCGTGCTGGGCTCTGCGAGCCGCTCTGGGTCACCTGGTCCTTGTGCCCGTGGGAGCGGAGCTGCTTTTGGCGAGCAACAGGCTCCAGGGTCTTTGGGAAACAGAGTGCCAGACCCCACTCCCCAGGGCCCGCCACGCGCTCCCGCAGCGGAGCGAGCTCTCCCCTGAGCGCTCCGGCCCAGGGCTGCTCCCCGGGGTACAAAGCCCACGGTCCTTCTGCTGGTCAGCTTGGCTCCAGCCCTGCCAGCATCCCTGGGTACAGGCATTGCAGCGTGTCCTGCACGGCTCCCACCAACATCCCTGGGCACCAGGCATCATGGTGTGCCCTGCACAGCTCCCACCAGCATCCCTGGGTACAGGCATTGCAGCGTGCCCTGCACAGCGCTGGGTCTGGCTACGGGCAGAGGCTGTTAGCCCATCCTGGGCGGTTGTGCCAGGCAGGGGATGGCACAGATGGAAGTTGACTCCACAGCGGGATTTAAAAACAAAATGGTCATTCCGAAATGAATGTGCAGAGCTGGTGGAGTGTGACTGGAGCATGTGGCTCGGGATGTTTGCTGACTTGAAAGGATGGTGCATGGGTATGGGAGGGAATTTACATCAGGATCAGAGCACATCCAGGAGCAAACCCCTGGATTTGATTTCTAGCTCCAGCACCTACCCTGTTGCAACTTTCTTTAAATAACGTAAGTTGGGTTTTTTCTCGCCTCAATGTATGAGTTTGTAAAAAGCTTCGCTGCTCTGTTGAGTAGGTGCAGGATGTAAGGGGTGATGTGCAGAGGTGTCGCAGTGTTTTAGGAGTCGCTACAGGATTGAACATGCAGCAGTCCCCGCTGATCACGGCACAGTGCGTGTTCTCTCCTCAAACCCTTCCTTGGGCACTGACCCACCGCAGCAAAATGCTCTGGTGCTTTCCTAGTGCGGGATATCGAAGCTGAAGTGAGAGAAAGACAAAGAACAGCTGGGGAAAATGCAAAACCAGAAGAGACTTTACGTGAATTTCTGTTTCCTGACGCTTCGTCAGCTGTCCTTCTGTGCTGCAATCCCACAATAATTCGGAGCACGTTTAGTGTTTTGCCCTTTGTGTGAACTGTTCTTTTTAAACTTCATGATGCAGGCAGTACATCTTGTACAGCGCTGAACACCCTCCTGGCACTTCACAAATGCTATTACATTGTTAAACCCACAAGTACATAAGTGTTCTTGCTACAGGCAGAAAAAGGGGTGAATTTTTGTGCAATAGTTTTTTTTTTCATCGCAGGAATATTGATGCAGAAAGATAATTTTTATATGGAGAAATGGGTTCTGCAGTATTTTTCCTGGAAAAAAATTATCCCTTGATATGATAGTTTGACTAATGGGAAAATTGATGACATGTCCTTTCACTGACATGGGATGCCTACAGCCACTGCCTATGAAATATGGGCAAGTCTCGAATTTACTTACCAGCTGTAATAATGCAATTTCCTGAATCCTCATTCAAGTGTATTTTAAGTAAATATAACAGTAAATATGTTTAAAGCCACCCAGGCAAAGCTAATATTAATCACTGGAGCTTGCGTCTCCAGAGGCCAGGCATCTTGGGGCAAAGATCTTTCTTATCACGGAGTAATGCACTTGCAAAATAGATCTTGCTTTCCTC